CAAAAAGTTGGTACATTTTGTAAAATGCAATGAAATAAAGAACAAATTTTGATGGCTGCAACACACTCCAAAAAAGTTGGGACAGAGAGACAATAAAAGTGAAAAGGTTACGGAATACCCAAATTAAAACGGTTCACAATAAACAGGTGAACTGGAAATAGGTTAGAGTATCGTGATTGAGTATTAAAAAAAAACATCTCAGTCTTTGCAAGTAAAGCTGGATCATGGCTCGTCACTTTGTGCCAAATTTCATGAGGTGTCAAACAAATCAAAAATCACATTTCTCAAGGCAAAATCACAAAATCTACCATACATAATGTTGTGAAAAGATTCAGGGAATCCAGAGAAATCATATTCTTGTGTAGGGCAAGGCAGGAAACCTCAGGTGAATGTGTGTGAGCTTTGAGCCCTCAGATGGCATTGCATAAGAAATCGTCATGCTAAATATTACGTGTTAAATATAGCCACATCGGCTCAGGAGTACTTCAGAAAACCGCTGTCACTTAACAGTCTGTCACTGCATCAATAAATGTAACTTGAATGTGTGTTACTCAAGGAAAAAGCTATTTGTCAATTCTATGCAGTGATACCATGGGGCTCTCTGGGCCAGAGCTCATCTCAGACAATCAAAAAAAGTGGAAATGTGTGCTGTGGTCAGATGAGTCCACATTTTCATTCGTTTCTGGGAAAAATGGACATCGAGTTCTCAGTCACAAAGACCAAAGGGACCATCCAGACTTTCATCAGCGACAGATGCAAAAGTAAACGTCATGGTACTGGGGTGCAGCAGAGCTAACGGCACGGGTGACTGGCATACTGTATGTGCAAAGGTACCACTGACATGGAGGCATATATTGAAATTGTACAGAGACATATACTGCCATCAAGATGATGTTTTTCATGGGAAGTCCATGGTTATTAGATTAAGACAGTGGGTGTGGATCAAAATGGATACAGGGATTAATTCAGGAGATCACAGGACTTGTGTTCTACAAAGTAGTGCATCGCCATGTTGATCTGTTGACAGCAAAAGGAAGTGCTGCATTCTGAAACTGTCTCTCAAGCACTATCTCAATCGAGCATGGGTGCTCTACCTCATGATACTGATGTGGGGTCAGTGGATTGTGATACTACATTGCAAAAAACACTCAGTACACCGACAATACTTGAGTTGACAGAGTTCTCAAGCTGGATGTCTAATTGTTAAGTATTGCACTCTTATACATTGCATTACGGTATCAGTCAAATTACCTATTGTTCTATTTGAAGGTATTATGGTATGGGAGTGATGACGTATGTTGTTACGTGTTTTACGTCGCTACGTTTTGTACTAGACTAAAAAGCAGAAGTGATGAATAAATGGAGAGCATGCTGAAAAAGTAAGAACTTTGAGCAACGTTTTGTCTTCGTATCTGATTGATGGTGAACTGCGCACTCAAGCTCAACAGGTTATGGGCCCAGTCACGGAAGCAAGCGGGCGTTTTTGAGCAAGATTATACGCGACGTATTACGAGAGGCGGACAGTAACTAAGTACATTTACTTGAGTATTGTACTTAA